CCTTGTAAGACCTTGTTGGTGTAGTAAATCGGCACTTGGCGGCTATCGTCCTCTTGCACTAGGACCGTGCTGATAGTTGAGTTGCTTGCTGTCTAGTATATCGCGAGGGGTTCCCCATGCTTGGGAGTGGCTAGGGTGAGCAGTTTCAATAAATGTTCCTTTAATTCTGTAAATGCCTTGCGGCAGCCATCCACCCATGAGAATTTGTTCGCTTTCTTCAATGCAATGAAGAAAGGTAAGCAAAAATCTACTGCCCGCGAGAGGAAGCAATTCACAGTGACCAGCAACCCAGTCAACTTTTGCACCTCTTTAACAATGGTTGATTCCTTGAGCTCAGGATTGCCGTTACCTTGGATGGGACTACGTCGATTCCCCTTCGAGACTTGGAAAGATCAAGAACTTTCCCGAGCCGACCCCGAATGCACACTTTTGGGATTCAGCTTTATGTTGACCCGTCACAGTGTCTCGCATGTTTCTTCGAGATCGCTAAGTATGTACTCGTACCCGTGGTTCTTTACCACCATGTCGTCGATGTATACTTCCATATTTCGACCAATCTGGCTATCAAAAATCCGATTGACCATGTGCTCATAAGTTGCCCCCGTGTTTTTTAAGCCAAAAGGCATCTTGATGTAACAATAGGTCCCAATGTCTGTGATGAAGGCTGTCTTCTCTGCATCGCTTTAATCCATTAGGATTTGATGGTACCCCTTGTATGCGTCCAAGAAGCAGAGGACCTTAAATCCAGATATGGCATCAACCTTTTGGTCTATGATGGGGAGTGGGTAACAATCCTTGGGACAATGTTTATTTAAATCCTAATAATCTTCATCTTCTCTGCATCGCTTTAATCCATTAGGATTTGATGGTACCCCTTGTATGCGTCCAAGAAGCAGAGGACCTTAAATTCAGATATGGCATCAACCTTTTGGTCTATGATGGGGAGTGGGTAACAATCCTTGGGACAATGTTTATTTAAATCCTAATAATCTATCCACATGCACCATGTCCTGTCGATCTTCCTAACCATAACTGGATTTGCTATCCAGAGGGGGTATAAGACCTCTCGTATGATCTGCGCAGCCTGTAGTTTTGCGACCTCCGCTTTAATAGCTACGCTGTGCTTCTCTGGCTGGCATTGGTTCTGCTGTTTAACAGGGGACACATCTGGAAAAACCCATTAAAGGCATGGTGCATGGACGCAGTTGCGACTTGTCTATACCTAGCTTCTAGAAACAATCATGATACATCACATTGACACCACTCCGAAGGTCAACATAAACGTGGTGGACGTCCCTATTGTGGATGATTGCACTGATGACAAGGGCGTCTGCACTGGATGGAGGCCCCGTGACAGCGTCATCTTGTGAAAAGGTGATGGCTTCCAAAGGTTTGAGACATTTATGGTCGGATTCCCCCGGCAGACAGGTCGCGACGCAGCCTTTGCCATGGAAATGCTATGGACTTCAAGTGGCATGCAAAAGACAACATTCAATGGGATGCCATGAACGATTGGTTTCGCTAGGGTGGGTGCTTCCCTTGGGGGAATCTTCTTGGCATCCTTTTCTTTTCCTCGGTTGCCTCCGTCATTCTTTCCCATTCAACAACCGTTCCATCACCTTCCACGCGCTACACGATTGCCTTGTGCGAATGAGTGTGGCTTACCTTCTTTTTGCTTCTTGCCTAACTCCCTTTGTAGCTCGCGACAAGCCTCCGTAGAATGGCCATTTCGTTGGTGGTAGACCCACCTGTCCTCATTGCACCTTGACCCTGGAGAGGGGTTGCCGGATTGGTCTGTGTCATTCTTGTGAACCTGAAACACGTTTCGATGTGGTTTTATGAGGGAGAGATACCGGTCTAGATGGAAGGTGCGATCGGAGTCGCGTTGCCGGCCCGCGTCTCGCTCCCTTGTTGGCAGCGATGCGTCCTTTCAACCAAACAACTCCTCGGCCCGGCATGTTGATTCCTCTGCCCGGACCTCTTTCTCTACCAATTGCCGCAGTTTTTGACTTGTGCCGAGAAAATCCTTGCCTAGGTCTCGTTTGAATTGTGTGGACGGACAAAAAGGGTTCAAGTCGTTTATGAAGGTTTGATGCAGTACCAGGTCATCCACTTGATCGATGAGCAAGACCTCCTTAGTGTATCGAGGATCGATAAGCAAGACCTCTAGTGCGTAGGTATTGAATACTCTGCTCTGGGTTACGTTCCTCCCAATCGCGTCGTTCCTCTTTCTACACCTCTTGGAATGGATGGAACTGCTCTAAGACTACGGGGTGCGCCCTAGCAAATTCTAGCCACAGGTCGTCAATGGGTTTATCATTATGCTTTTCGCGATGACCCATGGACTGATGGGAACTCTTCCAACGTCTCCAGTTCTTTTTGCAAGTTGGATCCTTTGTAGGCGTCGACTATCTGCTTCCCAGTGCGATCGCGCCTAGAATCTGGCTTGCTGGCAATCGTTCGTCGCTCCTGGATCCTGGGGGCGACTACCCCTTGGTTCATCGGGTCTATGTTTCGTGGACACCATCAAAGTTTAACTCTCCAACGTTATAAAGAAGTTCAAGAAACGGGAATGCGTTTCTGTTTAAGCGCTATCCCCACAATCGGCACCAATTGTTGGTGCATTCCCGAGTCAGTCCACGAGGGAGTGCTAGTAATCTCAAAAATGCCCGTCAAAATAGGGTTATCACTCCAATGCCAAAGTCAGAACTCTTAGAGATATAAAAAGAGACTATTAAATACTATATAGAGAGAGAATAACATGAGAAGTAAATGCATTGGGGTGCCTCCTTGTATAGACTCAAAAAAATAGAATATAAGAATATTTCCTTGTACATGGGTGCACGTGGATCTTAGTGGATATTATTTGATACCTGAGCTAATTTAATTAAGGCCCAATGAGGTAAAGGCCTAATTGTCCCATCAAGAATAATTACAGGGGACGAAACAAACTTCCTCAGAAAAGGTGTGATTGGAGGGCTAGTAAACATCAACTTTAGCAAGGAATTCAAGGGAGTTGTGTCTGCTTGGAACAATATTTTGATTTAACACCCAAAAATGAGGAAAAGGTTAAGCCAACAAAAACCTGATTCGTTTTAATTTCCATTACACTTCACTATTCAATTAACTAAGAAATCTGGAACCAAGATGACGTTAGTGGTCGAAGGAGGCAGAAACCTTTTCATATGTGGGAATTAGAATGACTTAAAAACGGAAACCCTAATTCGTTGTGTGTTTAATCCCCCACAGTTATGGACTATATATGTTGGTGTTCACACCATTTTGTGCGTTATCAAGGATTGGGATTTTACCAATTCTTTCCATGTCATTCAGTTTAAACAGCAACCCAATCTTGCCTGCTAACAAAAAAGGGGGAAACAAAGACTCCTTTTCAGTTGTGAATAGAGTCAAACCAATTCTTTCCATGTCATTCAGTTTAAACAGCAACCCAATCTTGCCTGCTAACAAAAAAGGGGGGAAACAAAGACTCCTTTTCAGTTGTGAATAGAGTCAAGTCAATTGAATTGCCCCCATTTTAATTTCGTGTTTCGAACAAAAGTTTTCGCATGAAATGATGTTGCTTTTTTTTTTTTTTTCTTTTCAATTTTTGCATGAATCGGAAAAGGAAACAAAAGAGACAAATACTTAATAGTCCCGATTTTTGTTGTTCATAAGTGATTTCATTTTCATCTTTAGCAAAATGGAGAGGATAAAAAATTGATTTTGCACAATGGAAAACTGTTGATCATGTACATAGAACATCCAGCTATTTACATAATTACATAGTAATAATATAAAAAAAAAAATTCAAGTACCAGAAGAAATATTCTCTTTAAAGCCCATATAAGCCCACATTTGGTTGCACCTCAAAACCAATTTGTTATGAGGAGAGTAGCACCAATTTGCTATGAGGGGAGTAACACATGGAGTATATATGTTGATCAAGTTGGCTTCCTAACTCTAATGAGGGACAAATATCTTTCACTTATTTTTCAAGTTCAAAGGGAATTTAACACCCCCTCTCAAGCCCAAAAGGGTTGGACAAGGTATCTTTGAACCACTGATTTTTATTTTTTTTTTGTTTTTTTAAGGACCATTTCGGGTTTTTGCTTTCTTTTGTTTAAAGGGCCATTTTGGATTTGCGGTTTGTTTGAAGGCCCATTTTGAGATTTTTGGTTTGTTTGAAGACCCGTTTCGGGTTTTTGATTTTGTCCCGGATAAACCGTCGGATCGGTCAAAGTCCACCCACAAAATGTCACGATCCGGGGGCCGAATCGGTCAAGGTCCACCCACAAAGTGTCACGACCCAGGGGCCTTGAGAATTGGTCGGAAAACAGAACGGGGGAAAAAGACGGTGGCCGGGAAGATTGGGATTCGATTTTGGGAGAAGAACTAAGAAGAGAAGCAAATTTGAAAATTCTAATTTGACAATAATATTTCTGATAATCCAATTCCAACCCCTTGTGGACTATTTACAAAAAATACCAACAAGACCCTAAACTTTCTTTTTTTTACAATTTAGTCCTATAATTTAGTCTAGGGAACGACAGACCCTTCTCCTAAAAAATAGTCTTGTCCTCAAGACTGTGTTTCAAAAGAAAATACCTATTACAACTCGAAGCAGCTACTAACATCTGACACTTTAACTGGTATCAACTATAAAGTAGGAAAAGTAGAATTATGGAGATAGAACAACAAAAGACTGATTTTCATCTTCAAGGAGACGACTCTAACATTTGCCACGTAATCATCCAAATGAAATTCGGACCGATGCTCACTACACTTGCTACTTTTGTCTAGCTACCACCATTTTTAAGCAATTAAGAACCACCAGGGATTTGCCTAGATAAAGGTTCAGCAACTCTAATTTTGGTAGTGTAATGAAGAGAAAAATGGATATGAATTTGGTTACAAACCTGATTACCAAAACTCATGAAGCTGTAAGGATTATGATTCAAACTCATGGTCTCTAACCAAGCCATTCCTGTCATATCCTCATTTCAAACATTTAAAAGCCTCCATTTTGAATTATCATCCAGAACTAGCTTCCAACTATCACCACGTTCCAAACTGAATGAATCATTATCACTAAAACAAGTTTTGAGTCCACCAGGGTCAATGAGGAACAACCACTTCTCAAATCCAGATTTAGCAATATAGAGCCAACATCTGTCAACACCGTATGAACACTTAATTCTAAAAATTTCACCCAACTCACCAGGGTCAATAAAGGGTGATGTCATTCGGATTTCTTTGCCACTGATAAAATCATTTTTATCCACACCACTAATTAACCAGGCATTTTCATTAGCTCCTACCAAGTGATCACAAACAGAGGGATGGACATCCATAGTACCATTCGATTCATACCCAGTTACCAAATCGATACCAACCGCAGCATCTTTGCAGCCGGAGTTAGATTTCAGCCCTAGCTTATCACTAACACTCCTCGACTAAATCAAGGTCGCATAAAACTCCGTTAAAATCGTAGGTTCTTCTTCACCCAAACACAACTCAACAACTATAGCAACATCAATCAGGTTAAAGCATAGATTACTACTTACAGGCAAATTTTCCTGCTCGCCTGTTCCCAGGGGTTTAACACTTTCAAAATGGAAGAGTTTACCTCTAATCTGTAGTTCCCTTTTTGTGGTTATTGTATTGGAACCTTTTAGCTGCATGAATTGGTCAGGAAGAATTAGAGCTATTATGTCCGGTACACACTCAACCCCAGCATCCGTCTTTGCAGCAAGGAACAGATCAAGATGCTCATTATTATCCTCAGTACTGTCAACGATTTCCTTTACATGATTCATCTCCTTTAAACAAGTATAAACAACAAGCAGCCTCACACGTGACTCAAGATGAACTCCCATCATTCCAGTGATTAAATAAACAATGTTGACATCATGATCATGACCCAAACTGCCACAACTGTTATTTACATCCCCAGATGCCCCATTCTCACTTTCAGTTGATACTCCAGCATAAATGAAATGCTGAAAACACCTACAATGAGTACCAAAAGCGTATCCAAACACTTTAGTCATGCCATATGGCCACCTATTTGCAGTACCTCTAACAAACTCAACCAATTAGTGCAAATCTAATACAACTTCAAAAATGAACCAAGCAATCTTCCAATAGCGGTTCACTGAAGATGCACAAAATTTCTTTTTGACACAATTAACACAGGATGAGCTATTTCCAATTGGTTTAGCTTCTAAAAATTATATAACAGTGTAGCAGAAATACATACAGTCAAGATACTCCTTACTTCATCAAGCATATTCACAGCTCTTTTGTTTTCAGTCATGGGACGAGAATCACGAATTTTCAGAATTTCCTTCCACACATTTTCAGGTACTCGAGGAACTAAACACGCAATTATTCCTCCGGGATCATTAACAAAAAGGTTCACGTAATTTCTTCTATTCACAGCATGATTCCTACAAACACTGATCTCAATTTCAGATTCAACATTTCTCACCATTTCAAACTCAACCCAATCATCATTCAGTTCTAACCCCTTATCCACATCAATCAAACAAACAGAGTCACACAAGGTTTCAATAAGGACACCATTTAACTCATCCCTTGACAGCAACTCATTAGAAATCACATCACAATTTATACTATCAACATCACTGGGACCATCAACCTTAAAATAGTTTCTAAACCCACCCGGATCAATCACAAAAGATTTTTGGCGAAGTTCTTAAATCATGGAAAAACTTAACCCAAGAAGCTTAACAACTACCACAGTACCATAAGGTGTTCCTACACTGTCCACCAACACACTGTCACCCAATTCAAATGCAAAAAGATTTGCCTCATCGAAGAATATTGTTCCTCCTTTAAAACCATTTACTAGTAATCCAAACTTCCCCACAGCAGCAAATTCATTTCCAACAGCAATCACACAAGTAACACTTGAATGCTCAGACGAAACATCAATACAACTAGGACATTCAATTCCTCTCGGATCTACATAAATTGAGTTACAGCCAAATATTCCATTCCAGAAAGGATTTAAATCAAATAATTCAACACATTCGTCAGTGACTTCCTTTAAACCTACAGAAACCTCTAAATTTATCTCAACTTCATCAATTACTTCATTAAGGTTCCCCAATTTAACCCCAGTAGTATCATTCAAGTAATTCATATCAACAAGCTTACCAACCTGAACTACAGAGTTCAATTCTAATTTGGATTGCATACTTTCAAATTTACGAACTCCAATCAAACCATCAGCATCGCAAACAGTTTCGACTAAAACACCGCTCAAATCCTCAATAGGAATGAATTCAGCATCAACGAAACCTATCAAACCAAAATTAACAGCAATATTATCATTTCCATCAATTACCTTCATCTCAGAGTCGAACAATTGGAGCACTGAAGCCGGAATTTCAGCTAATTCCGCCCCTGATTAAATTAGCTCCTTCATCATCTTCCAGAGTTACATCCTATGCATTCCGCGTCGTCAGCTTCCCAGACGGTGACCACCATGGTTTGTCGATACTGAGAAATGAAGAAATCGCACAGATTTCATAAGAGGGAGGAGAATCGGATTTGAGACTTTTGGAGGGTTGAGAATTAGAAGGGGAAGAAGAAGATAAACGAAATCTTGAATCCGATATAGAGACGACCGAGAATCGTCCGCCCTGATACCAAATGTCACGACCTGGGGACCTTGAGAGTTGGCCGGAAAACAAAAAAGGGGAAAAAGACGGTGGCCGGGAAGATTGGGGTTCGGTTTTGGGAGAAGAACGAAGAAGAGAAGGAAATTGGAAAATTCCAATTTGATAATAATATTTCTGATAATCAAATTCCAACAACTTGTAGACTATTTATAGTTCACAAGTTACAGAAAATACCAACAAGTCCCTAGACTTTCTTTTTCTTATAATTTAGTCCTATAATTTAGTCTAGGGCATGACACAAAGTCTGCGGATCAAAACCCGCTTTAATACCATCCTGAAAGCCCATATAAGCCCACATGTGGTTCCACCTTAAAACCAATTGCCTATGAGTGGAGCAGGAATGGGGTATATATGTTGATCAAGTTGGCTTCCTAACTCTAATGTGGGACAAATGTCTTTCACTTCTTTTTCAATTTCAAAGGAAATTTAACATATTCCTCTGGAGGAGATGATTTCACCGTTTTGCTTTTTCCTTTTTTTTTTTTGGTGTATTTAAATTTTGATTTCTAATACAGAAATTGGACATGGAGTAATTTTTTTTGGTACGAAAAAGGAGGCAAAAGCCTAGATTCTTACATTTCAAAGGTATGCCACCCCTAATACATCATGTTGCAGCCAAGGCCGGGCATCTAACGGAGGTGACACTAATCTTTGCAGACCAATCGGGCCCGAAACTGCTAAAGAAGCTAAAAAATCGGCCACGAAATTCGCCTCCCGATGAACATGGTCAAATTCTACAATCTAATCACGATGTAGTACTTCTCGAATCCCGCTTACAATCCTCGAATGAATACCTAATACTTCTTCGTCACCCTTCACCATCAGCACAACACTTGAGCTATCCACTTCCGCCTTCACCTTCTTATAACCAAGATCCCATGCTAGTACTAGGGCTTGGAATAAACCCCAAAGCTCCGCACCAGTAATGGTACAAAACCCGACCTTCATCATAAAACCCTCCAACCATCTACCATGGCAATCCCGAATAACTCCACCCGCATAGCCAACTCCTATGGATGGATCAACACTGCCGTTAGAATTCACCTTCACCCAGTCAACCGGCGGCGGGATCCAGTGGATGCACCTTTCCTCCCACCCGACACAAGCTCCACGCATGGACTTCTCATATTGAGAAGCTCCTTTAATTCCCCCAACTACCTTCACAATCTCCGTCACACGATGTATTTCACCAACGTCTACCCTTTAAAAAATTCGCCGATTCCACCAGCACCATAGTCGCCAAGTTGTTACCCCAAATAGGCAATCCCAATCCTCAGGAAAGCCTTCCAACTTCCTATTAAGGTTATGCCAAAACCATTCCTCCAGCTGCAAAGTGAAGAAACTTTGTTGTCTACTCACCGGCACTAGTCGAAAAAGTTTATTTATTTCCTTACATCTTATTTATTTCCTTCGTATTACCATTGAAAAAGTTTTGAATTTATTTAGACTTTCAAAAATTAAAACAACTATAAATAAATAATTTGTCTAAAACAAGCGTTACTACATTCGTTAACAATTTTGTGAAGTTATAGTTAACAACTTTATAAGAAAGTCGTAAAGGGAAAAAGTAAAATTTTTCCACAGAATACCTCAACAAATATTTAGTCGAAATTGGTATCCTTGTGATTGGGACTAACCTAACTACTGGATAGGTTAAGTTTTGGACGCGGTTGCATTCCTTTTAAAGATAAGAGTTGTGCGAAATCAAGAAGAATTATGTCAGATGAATATGACAAAATTTTTTGGTCGGGAACTAGCAATGAGACAGTATAAATAATGACGAAAGAAATGGAAGATTTTCTTGTACATTAAATTTGTGACTGATTTTTGGTCTGTTTAATTGAGAATCTTCGATTGATATTCCAGGTGAAACTGGTGTAGCTAGTAGATATTGATCCAACCCAAATAATCATATCTATGATTTTCTTGTAGCTGATTTAATATTCACAAAAAATAATAATAAAAATAATGAGTGACAGGAATTAGTTTTAGTCTCTTAGACTACGATACTGCACACAAACGTACAGTCCTCCTAATCTACTTGCTCTTCCGCCGAAGTTAAAGAAGAGAAACGTTCCATAGAAAGGAAGCGACTTCCATTTGGATCATGAGCATTTTTCCTCACTTTCTTATAACACTGAATTCTTTTTAGGGAAATAATATTATTCCTTGTTCATGTAGGCCGATTAATATAGTGAAAGTGCAAATCTCAGTTTCTGAAACAAATATTTGAAGCTACGAAATGCGTGTCACTTGGTAACTTGGGCTTAGACCATTAAAGTACAAACTAGTCCTACTGAAGCTGAAACTCATAATCATTTCAGAAGTTAAACCAACCAAAAAGCTGATCTTATTGGTTTCCCGAAGCGAAATATACTCTATCTCTTTGCTCTTTCTCTTTCTTTCTTTAAAGATCTCAAGATAATATTTCATTTGCGGCGGTTGGTAGCGGGCTAGACATAGAAATTAGGTAATAGGAATGAAAAGGTTAAGGGAAGGAAGTGGCCACTAGCCACTTTTGTCAGTGGGAAATAAGTGAAATTTCTTGAAGCCTAGTTCTTCTCTTTATTTATAGCCTACCGTTATAGCCTACCGTGTGATAGTCCAGCTTTGAAAAGAAGCAAAACAAATTTCTATCCAATAAGTGCCGAATGTACCTCAGTATAAAGAGAACTCATTAGAAAAGCTACTAAACATTTCTGTTTAAGCTTTCAAATGATTGACCCATACCTTTCTTGCTTCTGTCTCTCCAATTTCCGCATGATTAGACCAAGAACTAAGAGACTTTTTTACTTGTTGTTCAAAAGTGCTTTTATTTTCTAGCATTAAATGAATCAAAGGAGTGCCCACGAGACCGTTTTACAGAACATTTGAGCACCTTTTTGCATTCTGGTTATAGGGAAAAGCCAATTCACTTCGAAAACAGAACGTGCATTAATAGGACTTTTGAAAGAAGATGATTTTTGGTATATATGGGAAGAAGGATTAATAGATAATTACAGGGAAACTTTTTGTTTGTCTATTTTGTTACACATGGTAACTTTTGTTAAGGCTCGACATCTACTTTTGGTACACATAGTTGTCTTTTTTTTGGACGGAGTAATCTGATTACTCTACTAGGAAAGCATAGATTTGCTATTATTCAAATGAGGGACAAAATAATGTTAACAAAATAACGTTAATGCCAGTCATTTTATTACTCCTTCTGTCCCAAAAAATAGTTCACATTATGTTTTTATATTTATAGTCTTTTTCGTACAAATTCCAAAATTCAATACGAATTGTTTTTTTTTGGCAGAGGTAGTATTTTATTTGCAGAAAAAAAAATGAATAAGAGAGAAAGATTGATTTTTCACATTGGAATTGGCGATGTACATAGAATGTAGGTTACCTAAAAATCACACGAATGACATCGAAGTTTTATAATACATGATATTTTGAAGATCTGTGTCTACGAACTGTTACCTATTTCAGAAAATTAAAGCTACATACCTAAGCAACTACTAACAGGGATTGGAGGGTTGGAGCTTAAACATGCATAGTCAAATTTTGTGTTTATGAGAAAAAAAATTTACGATAATAAAAACATTAATTTATATGGAGACGGTCGAAAGGGCGTGAACACTTCCGAGTTCATTCATACAGTTGCGTAAAAACAATAGAATGAGATTATCCATGGACCATGGTTACAAAAATATATTTGGCTTATAATTCTACTCAATCAACACAAAAATACCGAAAATTCCATATTTCTAGCAATTGTTGTTTTTTTCTGGTGGAGAAATCGACTAGATAGCATTAAATTGATCGCGTGTTACGCTTTGCAGAGGACTTTTAGGTTTGCTTTTTGAGTCCGGTAGGATGGGCCTCGTAGTTGTTTTCCTCCTCTTCTGACTGGAGTACAACTGTCTCCCACATACCAACATGGAGGATTCTTAGACATCAACTCTAGCAAGGAACTCAAGGGAGCTCATTTGGTTTGGACAAATAATATATGAGTCACACCTTTAATGAAGAAGGTTAAACCAACAGAAACCAGAAGATCTGTTCTGATTTCCATTACAGTACTCACTATGAAATCGATAAATTACTTTTGTCCACCTTTTCGAAAGGGTTGAAACCAGTGGTGATTGAAGAGGGTAGCGAAGGAGGCGGACACTTTGTAAGTGTGGGGGAAACAAAAATGAGGGCAATGAGTTAAGAATAGAAACGTTATATATATGTAGAATAAGAAATTATGCTTAACCATTCATTCCGCGTGATCCATTTAATAAAGCTCAAGAAGAAATGAAAAAGAAGAAAAAGATATTTCCAGTTGTAGAATTGAACCAATAGCGATTGACGAATTGACGCGCGTCAACTTTATATTTTAAATGCTGTTTTCATATGGAATGCTTTGCTTCTGGTTCTTCACTTTTTTTTTTTTTTTTCATGATTAGGGAAAATATTTAAGGCAAAGTTTTCGTGTTACAAAATTTGTTGTTGTTCATAATTGAATCCAGTTGTATTCTTAGGTATTCCTACCAGATGCTGTCCAAATTTCTTTATTAAAGTAAATTGATTTTTCACATTGGGATGTGTCATGTAAATGCAAATGTGGTGTTACTTTGAGCACCCATGGAAATTTCACTTCACGAGATTGTTTCATCTTTTTGCTTTTTAAATTGTTACAAGGAACAAACAAATTTCGACTTTTAAAACAGAACATTGGGTGACTTTTTGAAAAGGAGATTTTTAGTATTGGAATAAAGGAGGAATAGGTTACGTTATTTTGAATTTTCGTTTGTGTTGTGTTAGGAATAAGTCAAATAGAACGGATGAAATGAATAAAATTGTTCGGCGGGAGAGATTTCGACGAGGGAGACAGAGAAATGAGCAATAAACAGAGTAAAATTCTTCATTAACCAAACTCCGTCGTTGAATCTATTACTACGTAGTATTACTTATAATCCACTGAAGACGCAAACAATTCGTGATAACTGGACTATTAGCTACCACATTGCTATCGAAAAAGGCCGAGTTTGTGGGCACCCTCCAAGGAATGTGGTCGATCGGCCAATTCCATCCCTAGCATATTTTATAGTGAATCTTACAATAAATAAACCACTAGGCAAGAGAATTACCTTATCAATCCCCGGTTTTCCCCACAATCTCCTAAAATACCTCTCCATGATTGCGAATGGGGGATGAGCTCCTAGCACAAACGAAACAATTAAAGATTCCCAATAATCAGCTTCTGCCCTGACATCTTCTGCTTGCATCTTGGGTACATTTAGGCCATCCACAACTTGAGGCGGATAAAATTGCAATTTCCCCAATTGGGCTTTAGGACTAGAATTATTCGCCTGTCCCCGAGCTTTAGTCGATTCCCCCATCTCTGACCACACCAATTGTCTCCTAGGTTTCTCTGATTTCTCGCCCACTTACCTAGCAACACTCCCACTGGAATCAGACATGCAGACCAGTGTTGGACTCTGATTATCCTCATTTACTCGCTTATTCACCCCAGATGAGCTACCCTCAATACCCGAAACCAGCCGATTTAATTCCTTCTGTTGCCTTTCTGAAACCTTAATCGTTCCTCTTTTGGTCTTGGATTCAACCGTAATTCCTTGTCCCACCGGAGTAATCATCTCCTCAATAGGTTGTACCTTCTTGACGCTCCCTCATAGGGGCCTTTCCTTTCTTTTTCCAGCCAGCCATAGCTGGCGCACAAGGGTAGTGCACCGCAGATAAAGAGAGAGAAAGTGCCCTAGACGAAGAGAGAGAAAAAATGTTTTCCGAAGCCCGATGTCTGTGTCTTTGATTTTGTAACTTTTATTGTGTACTTTTGTAGAGTTCAATTCTGATCATCATTTTATTTTTTCTGTTGTTTCCAATTGAGCAAACTCAAGTTTTGCTTAACTTGAGTTTGAGTGGGGGTGTTAAACGTGATTTTAGGAATTTGATTAGATATACCAGTGTATCAAATCAATTAACACAAATATTTTCGCATGAATCTCGTGTTCCATTTGTGTGTTTATTGATTTGATACACTGGTATATCTGTACAAGAATATCGACTTCTAACATTAACTACTGGATAAGATCAAATCAAAATTAATCTAATCAAATCCC